CCTCCCCCGCCGCGGGTCCCGGTGCCCGGCCACCACGGCCTCGCCTTGACGGCGAACAGAGTCCACCATGGAGCCGCTGTTGTCGCCGCCGGTTATTGTGGCTGTTTGGCTGAAGGTCCGTGTGTGTTGTGCCCTGCCGGCCCTGCCTCCACGCCGAAGGCCCCGTTCGCCGCCGACGTCACGTGTCTCCAGCGCCGACGCCTACCACGGCGTCAGCACGATGCTCTCCCCGAGGGCGCACCACGGCCGCGCCAAACACCTCCTCGGATTTCACGCACACTCGCAGTCGTCGCTATGTCGGCCCCGCGTCTTGTGCCGCGTCTGTTGCAAAAACATGACCTGACCGCCGCATAGCCTTGGACGCGATAGCTAGCCTCGCACAGGGAAGTCCCTCGGCCTCTCCACGATGACGGAGACCCTAGCTCGCGCGGGAATCCGATTTCAGCGAACGCTCCAGATATCGGGCGCAGCGGGCAACAGCCTGACTCAAACCAAAGCCGACGTACACACATACAATCTCCGCACGGACAGCACAGGCCCCACAACCATCCACAATACACCAAGTATTTCTTTTATACTAAAAAAAATACCGCCCGTTTTCAATGGAAAGACTTTGGCAATGGTAGAAATCTGAAGGGGAGGAGGTGTATAGGGCAGATAGAGGTATAGATGCTGGAGGAGGCGCCTACGAAACGCCACGCCAAAGACGAAGGGCCAGGGGCCGGCACAATGCTAGCGCGATCCTCGGCGAATAAAGAAAAGAGTCCCGTCCTTTTGATAAAGGGAAGCCGGAGAGCTGCTATGCTCTGCAGCAGGGAGGAGTAGAGGGAGGCTGGAGAATAGAAAAGAAGTAAATCAGAGGCTACGGCAAGAGTCTGAGGCTGAAACAGCGCAGGTGACACTTCTTTACGGACGTGTCCCGTTTGAAAACATCGCGCGCTCTGTAGTACTTATAAGCACGGCGTACTGGTCTCGCTGCCCGGATTACATCTTTCGCATTTTATTATATATTTTTTTCGTCGTCTGCTGTCGAGATGCAGAGTGGGTGCAACAGCCGTCGTGATGCAACCTGAACCTGGCTTCTTATGAGGCGGGCCACGGCATGCATGCTAATAATAACACACGTTTTATACAAATTTTCGCAGAAAAAAAAAAACAAAGAAAAAAAGTTGCCGCGGCGGAGCGAGGTGACTATAAACATGAGCTTTAAATTTGCATGGTACGTTAAGGGGTCATTTGCAAACCACCTGGTTTCCTACCGAAAAGGAAGAAGATATTTTTTAACAACACTTCGTCTTATTTACCCCTTCCACGAAAGAAAAGTGCGCGATCAGCCGTTGAATTCAAAATACGCAAAGTTTTGGTAATTATTAGATAACATCATTGACGTAAACTTGAAAGTGGTTCAAAAACCAATCTACAAGTAACAGTCAAGTTTTTGACAGTGCGAGGCCGCTCGGCGCCTGCGCCTCGCCAGCGCCAGCCACTCTTTATAATCATCACAATGCTGGGGTAATTTGCCGCGCTCTTGTTTCTCGGCTGCGACCCTTTCTGGGCCCCGGGGGCCCGGGGGGTGTAATTCGATGACGGGACGTCGGCGTGCTCAGCACTAAATTGGGCCCGATCTATCGGAGGGTATGGGTCCGCCCGGCCCGGACCTACCCCACAGGCTGCCTACCCCAACGCGTCCCGTGCCGCGCCCGCACACCCGGCCGACCCTAACCTCCACACCCACCACGGCACCGCCGCCACCCTATCCGCCACCCTGCCTGGGCCGGGGGAGCGTCGCTAAGCACAGAGGGGAGGGGACCGGTCCGAAGCTGGGTGCACCCCAAAAAAAGGCTGAGTATTTGTAACCCTTAGGAGGGAGAGTGCCTTGATTTTCTTGGACGGCATTGTGCCGCTTTATGTTAAGAGCATTCTTGCTCAAAAAAGCACATTTATTCATTCAAGAAAACCATTAAGTACATGAAAAATAAACTAATATCAATGAGACCCCCGCCCCCCCTTCTTTT